AATAAAATGCCACCCCAAAAGTTGGACGCGATATTTATTAATAAAAAAATTAATTTTTATTAATTATTTATATAAAAATGCCATTCCGAAGGACGGATGCGACATTTATTAATAAAAAATTTAATTTTTATTAATTTTTTATATTAAAATGCCATCCCGAAAGTCAGATGCGGCATTTATTAATAAATAAATTAATTTTTATTAATTTTCTATATTAAAATGCCATACTGAAAGTCAGATGCAGCATTTATTAATAAAAAAATTAATTTTTATTAATTTTTTATATTAACATGCCACCCTGAAAATCAGACGCAGCTATCATTTTATGTTACGAGTCCCAATTTCTTAAATCCTGTCAGGTTAGGATCACGAATTTGCTTGACTTGGGTCACCCAAATGATCAGATGATGTGATTAAATAATATAATTTAAATAATAAGCGAAACTATTAACTTACTAATTCTGGCAACTCTGGTAATATGGATGCTTTTTTCCTTTGGGAAAAAAACATATTATTCCTAATTTCCATGAAATAAATAATACTAAAAATTTTTAAATAAACTTTTAAATATTTTGATATAAAAAAAAATGACTTAAATCTAATTAATCTTTACTTTTTAATTCAATCAAATTGAATATAATAATGATTTGCTTGAAATCTATATTTTCTGAATAATTTATTACTTTGCAGGTATTATTTAAACATGTGGATACTATTTAAAATTTTTATTTTTCATATGGTTGCTATGTGAATTTTGATTTATTTAATGCGATTAATTTTTTTTCAATTTTTTCATTTTGATTAATTAATCGATTTATTTATGATGCGTTGAACTTTTTGATTCGTAGTTTCAATTTTTTTAATTAAAAATTTGATCAGTCTGCAACGATTAAATATTTTAATATCTGCACATTTTTTTTTTTTAATTTCCTGAAAATTTCGCAATAGAAAAGATATTATCCTTATTATTGCGTCACAAAAATTAGATCTGATTTTTTTATTCTATTTTTGATTCTGATTCCTACCTCAGAAGATATCCAAATTCTCTATTCAAAAAAATGAAAGCAAGAATAAACTAGACTTAGCAATTGATCTAAGCCAGACGCATTTAGTGAATTATCTATCATATAAGTTATTTTGAAAGCAATTACATTTTTTAGTTTAGAAAATTTAAAATTACACTTGTATTTCTATCATAATTTCAATAATTTTATTTTACAATTATTAACTATTTTTATCTGATTATTATTCTTCATTTTTATACTTTTTAAGCTTTTATCTTTTTTTAATTAGATTAAACTAACAATATAGACTTTAGCATTCAAATTGTATTTGTATTGCCTTGTATTTTAATACAGCTTGCTTACTTTTCAGCTGCTGCACTTTTATACTAGAAAGAAGAGGTCTTAAATAAAATAATAAATAATTTTTTTAAAAAAATAATAACAAAATATAAAAAAAACTTAAAAAATCTTGCTTTATATACGTTGTTTACCTGAATTTTCTTGCTTTCTCAAGTCAACAAACACTTCTTTACTTTTTATTAATTTTGTTCGATATATAATTTATGCAGTATTATGATTTGCTAGCAAAACCTTTATGGAGATACGAAGAAGATTGAAAGGGTAAAATTAACAATTTTATTAATTAGGAATTCTACAAGCCTTTTCTTAAGACTTATTATCACAAATTAGAATAGTCTAATTTAATCTTTTGAGTCAGTCCTAAACTTTTAGTCCAAAAGAAGACCCGGTCCTATAGGATTTAAGTTCTAGAACTGGATTCTAGGACCGGTCTGATACTTGTAGTCCTAGGACTACAATCCTATATAAATTAGGACTTGCAGTCCTAGGATTGCAGTCCTATATAAATTGGGATTTGCAGTTCTAGGACTGTGGTCCTAAATAAATGGACTAGAAAATACTAACAAAATAAAGTCAAAGAGTAATAAATGATGCATTGTTCAACTAGAACGATAAAAAAATTGTTCAAGAAGAACGATGATGTATCATTAACTAAAATGATAAAAAATCGCTCGACTTGAACGATAATGTATCATTCGACTTGGATGATAGTATATTGTTTAAATAGAATGATGAAAAAATCATTCAAGAAGAACGATGATTTATCATTGAACGATGTATAAATCATTTGCCTTGAATGATGATGCATTATTCTATTTGAATGATGATATATCATTCTATTTGAATGATGAAAAATCGTTTGACTTGGATGATAATGTATTGTTCTATTTGAACGATGAATAAATTATTCAAGAAGAACGATGATAAATGCATCATTCTATTAGAATGATGAATAAATCATTTGACTTGAACGATGATAAATATATCATTCTATTAGAACGATAATGTATTGTTCAACTAGAACGATGAAGAAATTTTCAAATTCAACTTTCTAAGTTAATTTTTAAATATTTTTGCACCAAATTTATTAACCAATTATGCTATTTTTTAGAAATTGATCGTTATTTTCAAAAATTTAGCGCCAATCAATATTTTCTAGAAATTTTCATTGCTCACAAGAATTTTATTTTTTATTTATACTTTTTCTTAACAATTCCTTAATTTAGAATAAAAAACAAAACTTATTACCTAAATTGTATTGACTCAAAAAATAAGTAATTAAAATTTGACTATATGACATAATAAATGTTTATTTATTTATTTATTTATTATTTTTTCATTATCCATGTTAAATATTTTGAAAAAAAATCTAATTTTATCTTTTATAAAAAAAATCTGTCATAAATTCTTATTATTCTATTTCTTTTAAATATACAATTATGTCTGACCTTAATATTAGTGATAACATTTCTTTAGTTTTGAAGTTTTTACAGAATGTAATAACACAATTTCTAAAAATGCAGAATAATAGAAAAAAAATAAAACAAGCCATCTTATAAGAAAATTTTTTGAAATGAATAGCAATGCTATGTTATGTTCTCTTTACCAAATATCTTTCTCAAAAAATACTGGAATTAATACTATTAAAAGGTATTTTGAAAAGAACCATGCAGATGCTTATAAATAAATTAATCAAGAAGTACAAAATAATCAGCTTCCATATACTGAAAATGATTTAGATCGAGTTGTATTAATTAATCTTCATGTATATAGCTGGATTATAAATGATCAACAACCATTTAATGTGGTTGAAAATAAAGAATTTAAATATTTATTATTTGTTCTGATATAAATTGCTAACAAGACAAACAGTTTCATGACATATTGGTAAAATTTTTAATAAGCAAAAGTTAATTATTTGCAATATTTTATCATCAATAGAACAAAAATTTTCTATTACAACAGATGCATGGATAGCATGTATAAATCAATCTTATATTTGAGTTACATTATATTGGATTAATGAAAAATAGTATATAAAAAATATTTTTCTTGATTTTATATCTATGCATGAAAGACATATTGGAATAGCTATTGCTGAAGATATACTTTAAAAGATTATAATTTAGAAAGTAAAATATTGGCTGTTATAACAGATAATGCTTCTAATATGATTGCATTTGGACAACATCTTAAAAGTATACTTATAAATGATAGAATTTATGCATTTTAGATATGCAGCTCATATTTTAAATATAGCAGTATAAGAAGCCATTAAATTAATTAATGAACCAATTGAAAAAGCTAGAAAATTGCTAGTAATATTCAAAATTCATTACTACTTTTTGAAGAACTTAAAAAGATGTTTAAAATGAAAAATCAGCCATTTCTTATTCCTGATATACATATTCCTACAAAATGGAATTCTTTATATTTATCAATTCAAAAACTTTGTAGAATTAAAAAATATGACTGATATTTTAGTTGCTAGTAATAATCAACTAAAATATTCTTATCTAACAGATGAAGATTGGCATGATATTAATGTAAATATTATTTATTTTTTAAAAATTATTAATATAAATACTAATATTATAAAATATATAATAGAATATATGGTTCATCATATCTTACACAAGGAGATTTATGTATAGCTTTTACAATTATAATGGAATTATTTGAATCAAAAATGACAGAAAATTCATCAAAATTATCTCTTATTGCAACAGCAATAAACAACAAACTATATGTATATTGGATTTATCTAAAAGAAAGTTCAAAAATAGCTTCAATAATTGATCCATCTCATAAATTATCAACATTTGATAAAATTAATATAAATGAGGCAAAAGAATCTTTTAAAGAAAAGTATAAAGGTTATATGATGACAACCAATTTTTCTTTAGAAGTTTCAAAAGAAACTTCTTCAAGAAATTATTTTAGAAAAAGATTAAATATGTCAAGAAATAATAATAATAATAATAATATATTGGAAACTTATTTAAATTCACCTGAAGAGGATACAGATTCTTTAGCTTTGTATAAAGCTAGAGAACAAGATCAAAAATATTCTGCACTTGTAAATATGGCAAAAGACTATTTATCTATACAATCAACAAGTGTACCAAGTGAGCAAGCTTTTAGCATAGCTAAAAATACAATTAGTCAAATAAGAAATAGGCTGGATCCACAAAAAGCACAAGTTTCATTATGCTTAAAAACTTGGATTGATAGTGAATTAATAACTTCACAAAATATTTAAATTTTTATATGTTCAATAGTTTTGAAAATAATAATTATATATATTCTTTATTATTTATATTTTTCTTTTTTAAAATAAATAAATAAAATTTTTGATATTTCCAATAGAACAATACATTATCAATCAAGAAGAACGATCTTTTTATCATTCTAGAAGAACGATCTTTATTTACAACGTTCTAGAAGAACGATATTTTCATCGTTTTAGTTGAACGATACATAATAGTTCTTCTTGAACGATTTATTCATCGTTCTAATAGAATGATACATTATCATTCAAGACGAACGATTTATTCATCATTCTAATAGAACGATACATTATCGTTCAAGACGAACGATTTTCTTATCGTTCTTTTTTGACTAATTTGTTAGTTTCTAGGACCGCAAGTCCCGTTTTATATTAGGATTGCAGTCCTGTTCCATTTGATATGGGACCGCAGTCCTAGGACCGCAAGTCCCATTTTATATGAGATCGCAGTCCTAGGACTGCAAGTTTAATTTTATATCAGACCGCAGTCTGAGGACTGCAAGTCCTAATTTAAATAGGACTGCAGTCCTATAGTTCAAAGGACTTGAACTGGACTGGACTTCATAGAACTGTTTAGTACCTGGTCCCATGGGACTTTTTAACATCCCTACTTTTGAGAGAAACTTTTACGAACTTACTATTTTCTCTATTTTTCTTCATATTGAATTCATGATCAATTTATGCAAAATCGTTTATAATTAATTTAATGAATAAAACTAATATAATAGATATAATTAAAATAAATTTAACAGATAAAAAGAAATAAATAAATAAGATATGTAAAAACATATACACCGCAGTATCTGCGCCAATCGTAACGTGCGAATCCAAAAATTATAAATAAAGATTTTTTTTTGACAATAAATATAATAAATTTTAAAAATAAAATAAAAAAAATTAAAAAAAAATTTAATTAAATAAAATAATTTTGCGACATGAAAAAAATAATCAGAAAATATCGGCATTAAAAATTCAAAAAAATTAAAATTTAATAACATTCGTTATTTTAAATTTATTCAATAATAATTTACAATAAATTAAAGAATAAAATTCGCGGGACTTAATAAATTACGATATTTTTTAAAAAAAAAATTAAATATCGCATTTAAAAAAATTGCATTAAAAAAAATATCAGGAATTCCAGGTATTAAATAAAAAAAATATTATAAATAAAATCTGATATTTAAATATAAAAAAAAAAAAAAAAATTAATCATTTTTATAAAGATATAATGATATCAACTTCATAGGTTATTTTAAAGTTTACACATTAATAACACTAAGGTTTAACGATTAAAGTTAATTAATATAAATTAGCAGAAAGATTGGTTTAATATTAGTTTGGTTAGTATTAGGGTTAGGCTAATTTATTTATGGGTTCGAGTGGTTGTATTTAGGTTAATTTAGATTATTTTAATCTAATTAACACAAATGCCAGATTTCTAACACATTTAATGAAATAATGCATTAATCATTTGATTACATACTGCTTTATATATATTTTTTTCTAAACTACGGAATAAATTAATATAATACCTATCTTATCTTTATTTATATTAAAATATGGAGGAGGGTCGATTGCGAAAATTTCAGCAAAGCTCGTTTATTGCTAGTGTTGTAATCCTTTCGTTCATTAAAAGAAGAAACAGATGTGAACCGTAAACTTATTATAAATTGTCATTAATTTACAAAATTAATCTATATTTTTATGTTTATCTTTGCATTGCATATGAACGAGAGAGACTTGGTAGTTAGTTCGATTTCCAATTCAGATCACCCGCAGATATTAAAATTACAAACGTTATTATACATAACATTTTTTTGCTTGCATGTCGATCTGCAAATATTTTATTGATTAAGTTTATAATTTCATGAACTGGGATCTCTCGTTATTTAACATATTGATCATTTACAAAGAAGTAGTAAATATTCATTGAGGATTTTGTAATTTTGAATACGAACTCCTACAATACAATCTCTTTATAGCGTGTCACAAAATCATGATATTATAGACCGTTCGAAGGCCATTTAAACGTATTGAAATCTTCCGCTTTGAAAATCAATAATGAACTTGTTAAAATATAATACCTGACCTAAATTTGATTCAAACTTCGACGTTGTGCGTAATTCGGTATAACATAACATTTGTTTCTGGTATCTTTAGATGAAAGGGCAATGTATATATATACCTTTTTCAAATTGAAGAATTCATAAAACTTTATATAAAGTACTATAATATTATTACATGATGATTATCCATCATGTTTCGAGGACTTATTTTCTGAAATTTTAAATATATTGCGTTTATTGTAGTTTAATAATGTTATTTTGGTTTTAATACGATTAATCAGGTACAAACATATCTCTAAAGAAAGCTTTTAAAATGAGATGCAAGGAAGATTTTCTGTTTTTCAATTTTTGGAGTTAAACACACAGTGCCGATCAATCTTTTATTTATTTTTTTTTTTATTAAAACATTCTTTAACATAGATTTTTATGTTATCTAGCATTTCATTATTAAATTTCTAAATTTTAAATAATGACAAATAATAAATGTAAAGCTAATGAAGTTTAGAATTAATTAATTCTTCAATATATTTCCATCATATTTTGACTTGTTCCCCATCTTGAATTGCCGCAAATTTCTTTCTTATTTTACCAAATGTTTCAAAATATTGATTACGGTATTTTCAACAATTTTGGGCTTGTGCAAGCATATTAAGGTGTTAAAGCTCCATCTTCAGGTGAATAACTTTGCTATAATGACGAAAGATCGTTAATTAATAATAATCAAAAATATAAAAATTGAGACTTTATATATGTTTATTCCGTATATTTATTTCCAAATATGAAATGAAAGTTTATTACTTTTCTGGTTTTAGAGTATATATTAAATAATCTATTTTAACGACTCTTAACTTTGTAAATATCAACTAAAAATAGTTAAACTGGAGTGATAAAATTCATAAAAAATCTTGCTTTAACTTTTTACCATGCTATTAATACAAAAAATCCGTTAAAATATAAAGTATGCAGAAAGTACCATTGCAGCCGAAGGTAAATTAAATATCAAATCAATTAAATAAAGAATTTTTATTATTGATATAGATAATTTAAATTTGAAATTTTTTTTTTTTAACTATGCCATGGTGCCTCGAAATTATTGATAACTTGCATTCTCAAAAAAAAAAAATATAATAATTTAAATTATAATATTTGACGTAACATTAAAGCGTTGTGCATCAAAATACTGCGGTTAGATCTTCATATCTTGACACAATATGTATCACCATTAGTCGTTATACAAGATAATTTTTTTTTTAATTTAAAAAAAAGCTTTCTTTTAAAATAATAACAATGTCTGATAGTGACAATAAAGGTAAAGTTTAATAAAAATTCCAAAAATATTTATACATGTATATTTCCAACAAAAATAACGGAAATAAAACTTGGCACGTCTGAAATGAGTATATTTGACGGTTAGATGATTTCTAAAAAAAAATTTATTTCTCAAATTCACAGAGTCATTTTCGGATGTTATGGAAGTATCCTCATTAGAAGAAATAGAAGGTAACAGTAATTCCATGTATTATTAACCA